AAGCTATGTCATTTGATTTGAGTTTGCCAGTCTTATAAATTCTAACGAAAATGGAGAAAAGTGAATTTCGTGTTCTAATTAAACATTATTTTTTGCGTAAAAAAACCATCACTGCAACCAAGGAAAGGCTTGACAAATACTATGGGGACTCTGCACCATCTATTTCAATGGCGAAGAAGTGGTTTACTGAGCTCCGTTGTGGTCCAACCAGCACAAGTGATGCCGAACGTTCAGGTCGCCCAAATGAGGGCATCACACCAGAAATCGTGGATAAGATCCACGGGATGATATTGGAAGATCGGAGAATAAAAATACGTAAAGTAGCTGAGGCTGTAGGCATCTCTACTGAGTGGGTACATCGCATTTTAAATGAATACTTGGACATGAAAAAACTATCCGCGAGACGGGTGCCGCGATTGCTCACAGTCGACCATAAGCGCAACCGTGTGACCATTTCAAGGGAATGTTTGGCGATGTTCAGCCGCAATCCGAACGAATTTTTGCGCCGTTTTGTAACTGTAGACGAAATATGGATTCATCATAATACACCAGAAACCAAAGAACAATCAAGACAGTGGGTGTCACATGGTGAGCGTACTCCAAAGAAGGCCAAGGTGGGTCTGTCAGCCAGCAAGGTTATGGCCACAGTTTTCTGGGACGCATGCGATATCATTTACATCGATTATCTTGAGAAGGGCAGAACGATCACGGGAGAGTACTATTCAGAGCTGTTAGACAGATTCAACGTTGCTTTGAAGCAAAAACGACCGCATTAGGCGAAAAAAATTGCTGTTCCATCAAGACAACAGAAGGGTACACACGTATGTAGTGTCGATGGCAAAAATTCATGAACTGGGCTACGAACTGCTGCCCCATCCAGCCTATTTTACAGATTTACCCCCCAGCGACTACTTCCTATTTCCAAACCTGACAAAATGGCTGGGTGGTAAGAAATTTGGGTGGAATGAAGAGGTCATCATTGAAACAAACGCATACTTAGGGAGCCTTGATAAAAACTACTATTCGGAAGGAATTAAGAAATTGGAAAAACGCTGGACTAAATGTATCGAGCTAAAAGGAGATTATGTTGAGAAATAAAATGCTTATTTGCCCAAAAACATTTTTTTTATTTAAAAAGTTACTGACTTAACAAACAGCCCTCGTACATGGTCATCCAAGTCAAGGCACCCTTCTGGAAAGGATCGGTGACAACAAATTGTAAATCTTATGTTTCTTCAATTGTGAAGCACAGAATGTCATAAAAACTTGCTATTGCAGAAATGCAAAAACCACCCAACGTATTTGATGTAACTCTTGCATTGTTTTTGTATCAATAAAGACCAACTCTGTTTTACAAATTTCATACCCAATAGAAATATTCGTTTAAAACGGTCGACATATTTGTTTCGAGTATACCACGAATAATGCATAATTATGAGGTGTACATGATATAGGTCAGCATATTCCTAGATCAAACTGACACCTTTAATAAAACTGAACATACTGTGCAATATGAAGCCATTTCACTGTATCATCTGTAGCAACGAAAACTTGAGCAAACTTGCTTCAATTAACAAATCAACCTGATCATTGGTTTTTATAGATTGATCAGTTCTACCACTTTGGCAATCAAAAATATATTTACGTATTTACAAGCTAAGACGTGAAGGCCACTAGTTTCAGACCATCAATCTATACAGTCTACAGTCATCAATAAAGTTGTAAAGTAAGAGGCACCAACAGAGTATGATTTTTAAAGATGTTACTTTAACAGTGCAAGAATTGACATGTTAAAATTACGCTAAACATAGCAATAACACTTGCAGAACTGTTATTTGTGAAAATGGGTAGGTCAACTGAAATGAAGTTCAATTTATCCTTATTCTACATTTGTTTACTGCAGATTATTAATCTGTAAACAAATTTAAAAAATGGTACGGTCTGAGTACAAAGCATGATTAGATAGAACCATTTGTGCGACACTTGTTTTAGACACCAAAATGTCCAGATAACATAACATATACTGAGATTGATCGCAGTAGAAGGAATACAGTTGCTCGAAGCTTTCTATCATCTATTCTAATCCGACATTTCAATAATTAGCCCCCTTGAATGTTTTATATAGAGTGTGTGAACGCAAAAAATGAGAAAGTCAGAGTTACACGGTTGTTATATAGATTTTCCAAACACTTTGAATAACATAGACCATGATTCATTGACCAACCCACAGTACGTTTAAACATCTACACTTTTTATTTCGGTAATTATGTGTGATTCGTGTTATACTTCATTTTATTGTAGCTCTAAAGTTTTTTAGGAGCTTTAGCTTATAGTAATTTTTATATGACATAAATTCCTTATTTGGAGTCGTTTTACTTATGAAACTATATTCGCATTTACAAGTAATTGGATACACTTTTAAGAAATTTGTTCTATGGTTGTAACTTGTACCAATATAGAGGATATTGTCAAGATTTTAGAAAAATCTAGATGTAGTGGACATTGGGTTCTCTTATCTATTCTATTCATGTTATTTTGCCCATGGTACTAAACCATAAAAAACATCTTTGTGATATATTCACTGACAAACAAAATAGAGCGTAAAATGATTTTATTTGAATGAAATTTTATATAGTCAGACATACGCAGGAGGACGTCGTAATTAAAGTTCAAACAATAGCTGTATCGCTGGATCGCATAATAATGTGTCTGTCAGCCGGGAGTGTGAGCTCGATGTTCTAGTGTCTGATCACGTTAAATAGGCGTGACTATGTTTGGGTTTAATTTTTTTCTCCGATAGATGAATTATAGTCGTAGCTGGTACCGAAGGCCTGCTAGCGTTCATGGAGGATCAGCTAAAGAGGTCACTTTTCGTCCTTTCATAGCCCACACATGTTCCCCATGTCCAATGGACGAAAGGTCTCTGGAGATCTACGAGGACAAGCAGTAAGGCTGACTTGAGCGTTTTTGAGGTAGACCATTATAGGTCTAGTAATATGGAGTCGGGCATTGTCCTCTTGGAAAATTGGGGTTTCGAGGTCATGGTGAGGATCACCATCATTTTGCCCCGTCGAAACCCTCCAACTTTTCTTTGAAATATTTCTTCTAAGATGTGTTTTTGAAATATTTAGGTGGGGAAAATAAAATGAGATAATCCACAGTGATGTTAAACTTTACATTATGTCTTTCTCCGCGACGCCTTCTGACTCGAGCCCTTCCATCATGTATTCCTAAACTGATCTGGAACCGAGAAAATTGGGATGATGAAATTGTATAAAATTGGTTTTTGTATGGATGTGAGAGCTATGGTTCGGGGTGCCATTAGAAATGATTAGGTCACCTCCATTTTCTTACGATGGACTACCTTAATCACGCTAAAGTCAGCCTCCCTTCTTGGCCTCCTAGATCTCCAGACCTTTCGCCATTTGGACACCTGTGGCGTATAAGGGGAAGAAGAGTGATTTATTTACGTCACCCGTCACAAACTCTGGCTGGTCCTTGGCACCAAATACTGCTAGCTTGGAATGTTGTGTTACGGTTCAAATTTCACGTCAATAAACGACTCTATTCTGGGGGAGAGCTGACCTTCTGAGCTATTACTACTGTTAATAGTATGTTGGACAGAATCACTATCTGTGCGGAATGGGTAAAGGTCAGGGGATAGCGATTTTTGTTATTTATTTTAGAATTAGCGCCACAGCTCCGTTTCAAATATTTCTCAAAATCACATCGGTACTTACTAAAATATTGATATATATGATGATATAGTTTCACATCTAATCACTACCCATTTTCCCAATATCTATAGAATTATAATGTGCTTAAGCTTGCCTAACGGCTCGTTCTGCAGCCGACTTTGTCGTATGATGTATTTGTTTGGAAAGTTGCGTATTCCGAAATACGCCATTTGTATCTGACACTTGACCATCTCTTATTTTTTTAACCAACACCATTCGTTTCTTCGTAATGTCCAAACAGGGATATCATTGGTTATCATTGCTAATAACTATATGTCAGCCAACCGCTTAGGCATAAGACTTGCTGAAGAAAGCTTCAAGTGGGGCAAGCAGCTCATGCAATAGTGTTAAGGTTGCTTCGTACACAAGTTGCACGTACTTTTTTCCTACGATTGGTCAAAACTTAAACAAAAACCTCTGTAATTTTTCCACTAAATTGCAGAATGAATGTGCAGAAGAATCAGTAAGGGAATACGACCCACCACATTTATTGAGAACCTCTGATGTACAGGGCGTAAATGAGTGGTGGATCCAATCCCCATCAGATTTTTCTTCGATTTTCAAATTAGGTTTGCCTTAAATTCTCATAAGATTCCATTTCAAGTGTTAAAATAGCTAAAAAAGTTATATTTCTGTGGCAGTCGTAGGAAAATAGACTTCAATATTATAGTTATAACAATCTTCATATATCCAATATTACACCTATAATTTGTGTAGATTATAGTCTTACTGATGTTTATGTATCTGTGAGGTTACATTTAATGTAATGTTTTCACGCATTGTTACAGTTTACACGTTCAGATCCTTGTCAGTTTTGTTTAATTCCAATTTCAGTTGTCCCCATATCCAAATCCTTCGTTACGTTATGTCTCACTCAATTGTGTAACTGCTTTTTCTCAGGTTAACTGCCCACTTTGTTTCTCATTTTTGTGAGATATACTTATATAATAATGTTATATTGTTTTATGAATCAAGGTGAACTGTGGATAGATCATGCAAAATTTATGCGATAAAATTCGCCAGTCCTCAAGAGTAGCCTCGCCCATTGGGAATGTCAAAATTCTCAAGACATTATTAAGGATTTGATTAAAACATGTCAAGTTGATAATTAGATTCTTTGATTGGTTGGTTAAACTTTAACAAGGTAATTTATTTTTTCAAAAAGATTATATTATCTAACGCGATAGAGTGTCTACTCTTGACTGAGGTGAATTTTAGAACATCCAGTATTTCGATCAATTAATCTCTTCAAACCATTTTTAGGTGTTGGGTACATTGGCCGTAATAAGTTACACTACCCCTCTGTTTATATTAGTTGTGGTACCGGTCGGAATCTTATACTATTTCATACAAAGATTCTATGTAGCAACATCTAGACAACTGAAGAGGTTAGAATCGGTGTCTAGGTCACCAATTTACTCGCATTTTGGTGAAACTGTTACTGGAGCTTCGGCTATCAGGTAAGAAAGAAGTTGAAACTCTGCACAGGGCATCTATATAATCGAAAGTTTTTCCTAGAACTATGTTTTTTGGCACTTTAGGGGACTCTTTTAGGAACACTTCCTGATTAGCGAAGTTGTAGCATTCATAACATTTCTGATTATAAAAAAATGGTAGTGAGGTACCGAGACTACATACTTGACCTATCTTTTTTATTCTAGAGCATACAACCAACAAGAAAGATTCATAGAAGAATCAGAACGGAAAGTTGATACGAATCAAATTTGCTACTATCCTAGCATCATTTCTAATAGATGGCTGGCTATCAGACTGGAAATGATTGGTAACTTGATCATATACTTTGCTGCGCTATTTTCTGTACTAGGAGGAGACAAAGCTGCTGGACAAGTTGGTCTGTCAATTGCTTATGCTTTGCAGGTAAGTTGATAAGGCCACTTCTACACATGTTTTACTCGATTTATAGACCCATTACACATAATGGATGTAACAAAATGAACTGTATTTTTCAAGGTAAGGTATGCCGAGATGAGGTCTATGGTAACCTTAGAAGCTTCTACACACAAGCCGCCGCGTTTATGCCGAGCGGCAATACAAGCCGCCAAGCATCATTCCGGTTGTGACAGTCACATAGAACGCTAGTGAAGTGCAACACTCAAACCGCACAACACTACCTCTCGAATGCCAGGAACGAAGTGACGCCGGCAAGCCGCGTAACCCGCCGGCACACCCCGGCGGCTCCTTTGCGCGGCAAGGCCGGCGGCTCCTTTGCGCGGCAAGGCCGGCGGCTTTGTATGCCGCCGCGTGCACGGCGGCTTAGCCGGCGGCCCTGCCGCCAGCACTGTGTGTAGCGGCCTTAAGAATACTCCTAGAAGTTCGGCAGGATTTTTGTTGAACAAAATTATTAAGGAAAGGTCTTTAGTGACTTTTAACAAAGAAATTTTACGTTTTAGGTTCAAATCCAAGAACAATATTGAAATTAGTTTACAAGTTACTAAATGTCTGACCTTGATTTGCTCCATCAATAAGCAAGCTAAACTTCCAGGAATGCTCCATAATCACAGATTTTCATAAATATTCGGACGTATGATTGCCCTTCGATTGCTGATGTCATAAGAGGCATTCCATTTAAAATACAAAAGTCGGCCTTGGAATAACTCTGAAGGTGAAACTCAAGGTTTAAAGACACAGAACGGTTGCGTAACTTTTGTTCCGGTATAAAGTGCTACTATCAAAATCATACAGATACGAATTGAATCTGTCCGCTTTCCTAATCTGCAAACATGACCAACTGTATTGATTTTCATAGTCTTTCCTCTCCTTCAGAAAGGCTAGGATATTTCTAGATTTTTAGCCAGCGCTCTCCTATTGCCACACTATGTTTTCTTCTTGAATTGTAGGAAATTTCAGGTTATATAACAGATGACATAAATCAAAAGCACGAACAATTTGATGCAAGTAGATATTTGTAACATAACCTCAAAATAGAGCGCTGACACGGAAGAGTAGAAAACTATGAAAATCAAGGAGGCCATAAAGGCGTTCAACAATTGTAGATACGACTGACGATACGGCCCTAAGTAATACTGCGACAGGTGCCATACAGGGTTGCTAGATGGAGCGAATAGAATCAAAACATATACGTTATTACACCATATTCAAATCGCATTTATGCTCTTATATTGCCTTACTATACTAGCGTGATCGAGAGCAGTTGTTTGTAAGTTTTGTTGTGGCGTAAAGCTATAAGAGCTGAAGTCGTTGTATTGCAGACTAGTTTCTCGAAATCGAAAACGACCCGTCAAAGGCTTTGCCGTATTGGGTGATTTTTCCTCAGCTTGATGGGATTTTTGTGCTATAATTTTAAATCTTATACAGTGTTTTTCAATAATCCCTCCATTTTTTTGGAACGGGCAAGGTAGCAAGCTGAAATTCGGGTTACTGAGATTGATGCATGACTGCTCTATATTTTAGCTTAAAAGTGGCAGTTTAAAATTTCAAGAGGACGGCTGGGCGCCATTTTGGAACATTTTGCAAATGGAATGCAGTAGTCATGAATACTTTATAATCCAAGAAAACATAATCACTATTTTTCCAAAACGGCGGACTGGCGAGCTGTCAAAGTTGAGCGTTCTTGTACCTTGAATCATTTGTAACGACAACGATATTATAATATAGTATATATATATATATACTTTGAAGTTGAGTCAATAATTTTCAGATAATGATTGTAGAAGGAAGATAAACCAAAATATGTGTGTAAAAATAAAAAAAATTGAAAAAAAAATGTTACCTTGTTTTATAAAGTATCCTCCCTACAAGTATTTCAGTGTGGACCTGTATTTGATCGTGCGGTTTTGGAGCACCGGCATGCCCTCCAGTGTGAGGTCTTACGTCACCTGATTCACGAGCCCTTTGTACTACATTCAGCTTTCGTAAACATGTGCCATTTTTTATTCACTATTCACTCACGCGTTACCGACTGACACATCGACTGAATACAACTGAATAAGATTGTACATTGTAGTAAAAACATCGTTTCAAATTCTTTCGCTTTTTTGTTTCCGATGCGATGAACGGATAAGGCGGATTATATCCGTTGTTGCCAAACACGAGCACATAATATTATTATTGAGACAGGGCGGTACTCAAACTTCTAAAGCGCTATAACTTTGTTACTTTAATTTTACCAGAAAAATGTTAAAGGAAAAAAACATTTCTTTTGATCAGATCTACTCACTGTTAAAGTAAATGACTCAACTTCGAAGTATATATTTTTTTGATGGAATGCTCCATACATCCATACTTAAGTACATATTCAGATAGAACCCGTCTGAGTTATAAGCGAATCAATTTTAAAAAAAGCTCAGCTTTCACAGCCTGCCAGTTCGCCATTTTAAAGCACGCTCTAGAATAAAAAAGTACTCGCACAGAGCTTCAAAGTGAGATAACACACGACCCACCATTCTATTTAAAAATGTTCCAAAATGGCGCCCATCTTAAAATTTTAAACTGCCATTTGGGCGTTGAAATACAGTGTTTCCTAACTTTGATGGTAGCATTATATGTATTATGATTTATTACAAAATGCTTATCCAATATACAATAAAATTGTACAAAGCAGTACTGAGTCGATATACTTAAAATTTTTTCCAGATAACTCAAACTCTGAACTGGCTAGTACGTATGACTTCTGACGTTGAGACGAACATTGTGGCTGTAGAACGTATCAAGGAATACGCTGAAGCGCCTCAGGAAGCCCCATGGGTCATCCCAGAAAAAACACCACCAAGCAGGTAACATATCTGATTTGAATGTATTATTAGCCCGGCGGTTTTACCCGCGGAACGTGTAGATGGCGCTACTAACAAATTAACCAAATTTCCCAAGCATGCAATTTGGCTGTCAATTTGCTGATGACATCAAAGGTACAAAACGGAAGTTTAAAGTATTATTGAAAATCAATGGTTGTAAGCGTACGAAGTCGCTGATAACAGCTAAAATGAAACGTTTATATCGCTACTTGACTGTCTCAGGCTGAGGGGGTCGATGGCAGGATCTCCTTATTGTGATTCAGGGGTGATGCTGACAACACTGGACAGTCATTTACATTTATACAGGGTATCTTCAAAGTTGAGTCATTTATTTAAAGGCCTGTACGACTCGTCAAGAGGAATTGATATACCAAAAATCACCTATGTAAAAGTTGCAGAATAAAATAAATAGTGGAAGAATACTAATTAAAATTGCACAGATTATTTGATATTCTAGACCGCTGCCGTGTAAAATATTAGCGTTTTTTGTTTAATGCTCTTTTAGTAGTGCGAATACCTCTATCTTTCTGATTACTTTGTGCGAAAAAATTGCCTACGTTTACGAAAACAATGAACTAGTGGACAGCATACTAACCTACGGAGAGTGCCAACAAAATGCACCCTCAGCATCCAGGTTGTATGTGGAAAGGTTTCCGGTCCGACGGATGTTTGTAAATTTAGTTATTACACTTCGTGACACAGGCTATTTAAAAGAACAACGAGGAGGTCACGATGGAGAACCTGCTGAACCTGAAATGTTACAAATTGTGGAAGGCATTTTAGAAATGGTCGAAGACAACCCAACAATAAGTACTAGAACCATAGCAGCTCAAGTTGAAGTTTCTGATAGTAAAGTGTGAAAGACAATACGACAAGAACAGTATTATGCTTATCATTATTAACGCGAAGATTTTACGAAATTAATATTGTGTGCAGACGAGGTCACATTTACACGTAATGGTGTGCACAATTTCCACAACAATCATGTTTAGGCATTAGAAAATCCGCATGGTGTACAAACAACTCGTTTCCAACATAGTTTTTCATTAGATGTTTGGGCTGGTGTGGTAAATATCATGCTTATTGGACCCTACTTTTTTCCACCTTCGACTGGTGAAATTTATTTAGATTTTCTTTGGCACAATCTGACAGAGCTTCCGAATAGATGGATCGGGCCCAAAGGACCCATTTCTTGGCCTGCTCGCTCCCCAGACTTAACGCCTTAACGGATTTTTTTCTGTGGGGCTATTTGAAAGTGTTGATGTTTCATGATGGAGCAGCAAATACTATGGAAGAACATGAACAGCGCACTGAAAATGCTTAAGATTTAATTCGTGGGCACCAGAATTTTATTTTTGAAGCTTGTAAAGAGTCGTGGATTCACCGATCAAGATTTTGTGTTAATCGAACAAATGAGGACAATTTTGAAAAATGTTTGTAAAAACAATATCCATTTAACTTGATAATGATTTTTATTACGTAATTATTAATAATGAAACTTAACTTTCTTATTATGCAACTTTTATATAGATCATTTTTGGTATATCAACTTCTTTTTCCTACAAGCTGTTAAAATGAAATACTTTAACTTTGAAAACACCCTGTAAACGTAAACGTTATGGTAGTCATTATTAAAATGGGTAATACGGGGGTCGGTGTTTCATCACTCTTATCGAACCGGCAATCGATCGCAAACGGTAAAAGTGGATAGTATGTTGTTTTGTTTTTGTTCGCGTACGTCGTAGTCAAATTTATCGCGACAGATTTCGCCAACGGGTACACCCAGACAGAAGGACATTTGTGCAAGAGTACCAGATACTTCGAGATACAGGAAGTGTTCAGCCTACTAATATTCGCACTCGTGAAAGACAGTACTGTAGAGCAGGAGGAACAAATTTTAAATATCGTGGAAATCAATGCAGATATCTGCACTCGGGAATCGGGCATTAGGCCGCCGCGTAGGACTATCGCATACCATAATCCATAGAATCCTACTGGAAAATTTGCTTTATCCCTACCATGTACAACGAGTGCAGGCCTTGTTACCCGAAGACTATCCTCGCAAACTAAAATTCTGTCAGTGGTTTTTGCACAAAAAAATTGAAAATCCGGATTTTTTTAAAAACATTTTAGCGATGGACGTATGTACTTTTACGCGAGACGGGATACTAAATTTCCATATTACTCACACCTGGGCCCAACAAAATCCTCATACCATTCGTGAACGTCATTTCCAACAACGTTTCAAAATAAATATTTGGGCGGGTATTCTTGACGATCAGGTAATTGGCCCTTTCGAGTTACCCCCAAGGTTGTCAGGAGAAGGATACCTTAGCTTTCTAGCCAATAACCTACCAGAACTTTTGGAACAGACCTTAGGTCCATGCCATTACAACGGAGACGGAATTTGTGGTTTCTTCATGACGGGGTACCACCACACATTTTTAGAGGCGTCATTCAGTATTTGAATGAACATTATCCAAATCGCTGTATCGGTCGAAATGCTCCTGATCCTCGAAAATGGCCAGCAAGATCTCCTGACCTCAATCCTATGGATTTCTGGTATTGGGGGAACTTAAAGGGATGGTTTATGGGGCTGGTCCAATAACAACTGAAGCACAACTTCGCGAAAAAAATTTTAATGCGGCTGAAATAATAAATGGATAACTTCGAGGACCTAGAGTAAGAAGAAACTGGGTTCGTCGTAATGAAGCTTCTGTGGAAAGTGGACGACGACATTTTGAACACTTTCTTTAAATACAAAAAAGTGCAGTGTGGGTTTTAAAAAGAAAAACATTTATGTATCAAAATTGTGTTCAATATTTTATGAGTACATTATCAAATAATGAAATAATATCTAAGAGCCAAAAATAACAAACTCCATCTTCATTTACACTGCGTTCCGTCGTAATATGCGTCTGGCATTGCGGCGTTGTCAGATTTTATTTTACTTTTAAAGTCGCTTTTCTCTAAAAAAAATGCCGTTTTGACCCCCATGTTATATGAAACTGTTTGCTTTTTTTAATCCCCTCTATCATCCCTTTAAATAATAATGACTATCATAACGTTTACACCCTGAATAGTGATATGAGTAGGAAATTGTTTTGTATAATTGTCATAACCGACGTATACCTTACTCAAATGCCATTTACTTACGTCGCATCAGAATAGACGCAGCATCTCGATTAACAAATATAATGCTATTATGGAAAAGTAGGTTGGGAAGACAGCTAGCCAATAGGAATGCAAAAACTGCGCGGGAGCTGCGTTTTGACGCGGCGTAAATGGCATTATTTGAATGAGCTAGTGTTCTGATATAATCTTCCTGATTCTGAGTTTTAACATCGTTTTTATTCATAGATGGCCCGATCAAGGATCTGTAGAGTTCAAGAATTACTCAGTGAGATACAGGCCAGGTCTCGACCTTGTGCTGAAAGACGTTAGTTTCCGTATTAAAGGCGGCGAGAAAGTGGGCATTGTTGGTAGAACTGGTGCTGGCAAGTCTAGTCTGACATTGTCCTTGTTTAGGTAGGTACGAGGAGGATATTTCTCAAGTTGTACATCATTACTGTATGAAGGCATAAAAGTAATTTGGGACACAGGTTTCTAATACAGTTTCAAAAAATGACAAAGCGTCGTGATGCCCTGTCTGGAACTTTGGAAAATAGCACTTTTGGAGCTCTCCGCTACTCTAACCAAAAACGCCATATCAAATTCATGATCTACGCAACATGTCTTAGAAACAAGATTTAGCGGAAATTGCAGATTTGCTGGAATTTTTGAAAATCTTGTTCCATACAGTACTTTCAAGCTTTGAAGTTTTGGTCGAAGCGCAAATTCTTAAACCATCTGGTGTAGAATTGGAAGTGAAAACTCGACGACAGTAGCTTAAGAAATGACTTAAGCTACTTTTTAGTTTTGAGGAATTGATCCTACGTGTTTTAAATTCTCATTTCTTTCTCAGGATAATTGAGGCAGCTGAAGGCCAAATTCTAATCGATGGAGTTAATATTTCTGACTTGGGATTGCATTCTCTACGGTCTAGATTGACAATCATACCTCAAGATGCCGTATTATTTTCTGGAACACTACGTATGAACCTGGATCCGTTTGACAAGCATAGTGACGACGAAGTCTGGAAAGCTTTGGAACATGCACATCTGAAGGCGTTCGTCAAAGGTAATGTACTACAAAGTATTTCTGAAGTTCGGACTTTCATTCACATGGACTAGGTGTTTTTAAAGTTCGGCGTACAGTTCTTGCAAAAATAAGGATCACATTAATTTTAACAACGTACCTTGATGATTGAGTGCAGTTTGAGGAATGGTCGGTCCTTGGATTTTAAACAAACAATAACGCTTACTTGGGAAACGTTCGAAGGAGGATTTAGCATTTGCATCAAACTTCAGGCAGCGCAGTGTCGTAGTGGTAGACGCCATATGTTTACTAATGCCGTGAGTTGCGCGAACTAGATGTTGCTGATCCTTGGGAGCACCAAGGGTGGAGGGTTGGGAGTCCTGTCCCAAGAGAATTTTTCTTTTGGCTATGGATGCTCTTACTATCCGTAGGTGGCGGACGGTCTCGGACTGTCGACGGTTGAGGTACCACACGGCGGATACCTAAGGCGCGGGGTCAGAATGTGTGCATGTGACGTCCCCCTTCCCACTTTCCTCTGTATCTTTCTATAGCCCTGCGATACCCACGGGTGGTTAGGTCTGAGCCCTTCGTGGTAGTTATAGTATAGTAAATTAAAAGTGTTTGCTTTCTCGATTTTATACTGAATAACAATTTCGTAGCAAAGTAAGCTAGGTTGCATATAGGCGACCAGCATTGCAATAGTCTGCAATGCTTGTTATAGGATGCGTTTGACAGCTTGAGCGTATTATACAGAGGGTGTGACTTTACAACTCATGTCAAACTGTCAAGGTCAAAAAATGAGGATGACTGTTGCTCATATCTGACGTAGCTTAACATCCATGGCAGAAGTAGGGTGAGGACAACGAATGGAAAAACGTCACGCTTGAGCTCATTATGTCACAGCTTTAGCGTGAAATTTATTTGATCTTTTGCCACTACTCGTTCATAGGAAAAATTAAAACATTAAGAATATACTTCATTTGAGTGAAAATTTTATATTCCCTAGGAATAAAAATTTAAGGAGGTAACTCACTTATACCTTTTGCTTCCTTACAGGGCTCCCCTCAATGCTGCAACACGAAGTAACAGAAGGCGGTGAAAACTTGTCAGTAGGTCAACGACAATTGGTATGTCTGGCTCGAGCGTTGCTAAGAAAAACAAAATTACTCGTTCTCGATGAAGCAACGGCAGCTGTGGATCTCGAAACAGATGATCTCATACAGAGGACGATACGTACCGAGTTCAACAAATGCACAGTAAGTAACATATTACAAACAAGTTAATGTTCCATATTTGCAATAACTTAAAATATTTTCCACTTCCTCATTAAATTTAAATCATGTGTGGAGCAAAAACAACATTGATATCTTCCTTCATTTCTAAACCAGATAAATCAAAGAACTGAATCATGAAAAATGACTCAACACTTCCCACTCATGGATCTAAATCTATTTCACGTTCGAGTGGCTCCAACATTCTGAGACTTATAAAGAAGTGAGAGACGCCTGATTTTATAATGTTTGGATACCTATGATTTTTTTCACTGCCTACGCCACTGGGGTATTGTAATCGCGAAAAAAAAAATCGAAAATGAGATATTGTTTTTTAAATGTTATATAATATTAATAAATGTCTTTATTAATACACATACAGTAATGGACAAAAGTATATAGACAAATATGAATATTTATTAGACAACGAATTCATACTTCATTGCTCCATAAACAAATGCGTTATTAGTAGAGAAACTAAATTCCTTGTTTTTATATTATCTGCAATGAACACAAGACAAGTCTGAATATACTTAAGCACTTTTTTATGGGAGGGACAAAAATATGTAGACACATTCTATTCAACATTAGTTTAGTACAGTTTCTGTCAGAAGAGGATTAGTTTGTGTTCATGAACTATTGTGGAATAAGTTGAGTGATTTTAAGACCATGCCGCGTGGTCCAGAAATTTATTTCGATGTGAAAACTAAGATCATTGAGTTATACAAAGATGGTCAACGTCAAGTCGACATTGCCAAAAATTTGAAGCTGAAGCGTAAAGCAGTTTCGGCAATATTGAACAAATATAAACAGAAGGGTATCTTGGAAGCCTCTAAGAGAAGTGGTAGGCCTAGAAAACTAAATGCCAGATCAGTTAGATTAATAAAAGTAATTTCATCCAAAGATCCGTTTAAAACCCCAAGATAAATAATAGCCGACATCGAGACAAAAGGAATTTTCGGTGTTTCTACGAAAACTATAAGTAAAAGATTAAATCTGTGACTGGAAGAGGGTATGTTTCAGTGACGAATCCAAGTTCAATATGTTTGGATCAGATGGTGTTCATTACGTTAGACGTCCTAGTGGACAAAGATTGAACCCCAAGTACACTTTGTCCACTGTCTGTTATGGTTTGGGGGTGCTTTTCGGGGTTTGGGATGGGACCTTTACATAGCATAGATGGCATTATGGATAAGTTTGTATACACAGACATACTAAAGCATGTCATGTTACCCTATATGGAAGACAATATGCCCTTAAGATCAATCTTCCAGCAAGATAATGAGCCGAAGCACACTTCAAATCTCGCAAAGAAATTCTTTCTGGATGAAAAAATACCAGTTCTCAAATGGCCTTCACAGTCTAACGATATAAATCCCATTGAAAATCTATGGGAATACTTAGATAAGCAAATACGAGATAAAAATTATTCAAACAAGGATGACCTTTTTGCCGCTTTGAGCAACAGTGGAGACAAATTGATGAATCTTATATCAAGAAACTTCTATATACAATCTATACCGAGACGATGCCAGGCGGTGATTGATAATAATGGTTATGCTTCAAAATATTAACACAAATATGGTTGGTTTTCTACAATTCAATGAACTTTGCTTCTTTTTTCTATAATTGTTTTGCTTTGTGTATAGATTTTTGTCCTTCATAGTTCCAGTTTTTTTCAATTAATTTAGAAATAAAACACAATATTAATTTGTCTATATACTTTTGTCCATTACTGTACATCAGTGTGGCGAAGTTTAGCCAAATGGCTACTCCGAAAGAGTAACATAGTTAACCTCGATACACAAACAAGCAATAGTAATAATAGAAGAAAAAGAAATGTATGAAAATGAATTAAATAGATAACGTTTTGACAACACGCACACACGAGCGAACAGAATAATATGAAACATAAAAAGAAAAAAAGATTAACAAATGCACACTTAAACTATTAATATCCCATCTGCTGTTTCTTAATGAGTCTCCATAAAGGTACTATTGTTTTACTGAGACACATTTTATCTGTAGAGGTGTATAACTTGCCAGCATGAAATGTGAAGCCTTTCTGGAAAAGGGCTTAAAAATGACAGTTTACTGTACGTTTATCCAAATAAATCACCAAGACTTTCAGTTTATAGGAGCTTCTTTAAATGACATTCAGATAATTTGCCCCTAATATCGACTATCTCTAACCCTATTTTAGCACGGCGTAGGCGCTCCACATGACACCTCAGCAGTAGATTCATGTTATTTGAATGCAAGACGTCTGCATCGGTTTAGATATAGTGGATAATATCAAATAGGAAGCTACAGCATCGTCGAGGCTTTTACTCGCTTTAAAATGTTTACTTCAGTCACTTGGAATCATGCTGCTTTGAAAGTTTTCAATACTAAACTTGAGTAATATAAAAACGTTTTTACTTAGAATTGTTGTTTCAAGAACTAAGGGTTGTCAATGACAGTGTATGACATAATATTATACATTTTCTGAAACACAACTAAAAACTCTGTTCACACAAAAAAATCGTGGTGACTGAGGACGAGACACGAAAGGAATTCTAATTATAACATTTAGATAAAAAAAGTGGCAATGTTAATGTATAATTTATTTTGAAATCCCACATCAAATGAAGCCAGACAAAAATAAAAACGTGTTTGAGAAAATTCGTTTTTTTTTTTCGTCTATCTGCGCAAATTTTCCTAGTTTCGATTTCTTAGTTACTTAGATGCGCAACTTTGTCCCAATTTAACCGACACTGTATCTCTAAAAGGTGGTGCAGGCAGCGGCACCCACAGGGGCTAAGGCAACAATCTTTAACACCCCTTGGAACATTTGATAAGCACAACGTGAACTGTACGATTTGTTGTCAAATTCCATACGTTTTGTGCCTGGTACTTTGCTGCGTGAATCATTTTAGCGCGACCAAAAGAAGTTGCTGACGATGATAATGTGTAATCGATTTTCTCAAAACTTATTCGAAGCATTCTGTTTGCAGGTGATGACAATCGCACATCGATTAAACACCATCTTGGATTCAGACAAGATTATTGTCCTGGATAAAGGCAAGATAGTTGAATACGACTCCCCAGAAAATTTAATCGCCAATCAAAAGTCGATATTCTTCAGTATGTACAGAGATGCAGGTTTAGGTTAGGTTAAGTACAATCAGTAAAGAATCCTCTTCACAATAAGCCAAGTTAACTGAAATGGTTTAAGGCAATAGACAGTGGCCAATCATCGCAATCTAGTATAATGAAACGTGCTCCATCACCATGCCCAAACATAGTGGTTGATTTTGGCACATTGGAAAGAGGAGACTTAACATGTCACCATGAAATAGTTGTTTCCAGAGATCACCAGTTAATGATTACAACACAATTATCTTGTGAAGAGTTGTTATATTATCTGTTTAAAAAGTATTTACCACAATATTTTATTTACACTAAGTCAACCCTTACATTTTTTAATTCACCCCTAGAAAGTGTTTATTTCTGAACAAATCGAAATGTTACAACAGTGATATTGATCAAGTTAATATGTCACGTAATAGCGTCATTGCACTTTTGTAGTTTTGTTCTTGTCCTTTGTTGGTAGGTTCCAAGGTGCAACGTATCATTTTATAATGAAAAATGGTACTTTTGTAATCGAAAACTTAGTGTTTCTATGCTTTATATTTTCTTAAACATATACCCGAGCTGGACATGTTTAACCTTAGTGATTTTTAAGGAAAAGAAAATTGTGCAGATGGCGTCCCTTAAGCAGTGAGAATATACAGAATGCCCCAGAAATAACACGCCAGAGTGACACGGGAGGTAGATTGGCTTCAGATCAATCAGCTAAAATCAAAATACCTTAGCAAACGTTTTCTAGTTTCCGAGATATTGCTACTTTTGAGTTTTTTAAAAAAATCCCGACTTTTTGCTCCTTTTATGGCTATAAAGAACTTCTAACTGATGATTTTTTTTCATGGGCTACCATTAATAGTTGGTGGAGACAACAGAGTATTAATTTTATTGAAAGCTACCAAGGTATGTTGAAAAAATTATTACATTTTGTTTCAATGCGAAAACCGTTACTAAAGTTTGACTAATATCTGTGAAAAAAAATATACCAGAGTGAATCGCAAATGATCCTAAAAAGTAGCCTATTTAATACTCTTAAAAATATTGTTTTTTTATTTGTAGTATTTCGCAAGTATTACGAGTTCAATGACAAAACTTGAAATTATTCAGTTTTTAGTAAAAAAACACCCTACAAATGCTACTATTTCTGACAGAACATTAAATGGCTAGTTTTTAAGGTCATTTGCTGATCACAGTCTGGCACATTTTTTTAACAGTAATTAGTCCAACTTTAGTAAAGGTTTTCGCATTGAAACCAAATGTAATAATTTATTTCTTTTTTAGCATACTGTGTTAGTTTTCAATGAAATGTGGTCACAACCAACTATTAATGGTAACCCAGGAAAAAAACATAAGTTAGAAGTTCTTTATAGCCATAACAGGAAAAAAAGTAGTAGAAAGTAGGGATTTTTTGAAAAAACTTAAAAGTGGCAATATCTCGAAAACTAGAAAACTTTTACTAAGGTCATGTTGATTTTATCTGATTGATCTGAAGCTAATCTACCTCCCCTCTCACTTGCGTGTTATTTCTGGGAGACCCTGTATAGTGGTTGCAAAAATACATATAACTTATTTTTTCCTGTTGGATGACATTTTATGTAAGCATACTAAAATTATTCGAGTATTTCGTGTAAGATTACCAAAAAATGTGTTTTGTGGATAAAAAATCCACCACAGTTTAAAGCATAGAGGTGTCGAGTATCTGCTTCAAAGTGTAAGGGCCTGTACTTGTGATTTATCGTCCTTGAAAAAAATCACCCTAGTTAAATGTGTCCAGCTCCTGGCTCTTATGCCAGATGTACAAGTCGCAAATTTTTTACTTGACCTTTTCCAGGAAATTTTTGGCACAATTTGTTACCGAATTTGAATTATTGTACATGTTAATAGAGGTTCCCCTTGCATGATTTATCATCTAGGTACAATATAAAGACGTTAAGATATATTGAAGAAAACATATTTACTTATTTATGAATAAATGCCGAATAAATGTACTTTAACTGTAGTACTTAAAATCTTGCCACTAGGTCACTTTTTCTAATAATAATAATAAATTGTCCTGTATTTGGTTCCTTCGCAAAATATCAAAGTATTTGTATCTTACGAGGTTTGTTCGGAAAATAAGTATAAAAGAGGAATAATAACTTTATTTTATAATTGTTCAGACATTTCAATATGATCTCCTTCAAACTACTCCCCCTGAGACAAAATGCACTTCTGCCAACGCCGTTTCCACTGTTGATACGATCGCTGAAAGTCTTCAATGGTGAGGCTCTTCATTTGTCGTGTCGTTTTTGCCTTGATGGCTTCCACATCCCCTAAGTGCCACCCCCGAAGCTCCTTTTTACATTTTGGGAACAGGAAGAAGTCGCCAGGAGCTAAATCGGGTGAATTCTGACACGGTAATTGAGCTTCCGGCCAAAAACTCAAGCACAACGAGACATGTATGAGCAGGCGCGTTGTCGTGATGAAGGATCCACCTGCCCACTTGTGCCAAATCCGGTCGAATTCGGGCCAAACGAGCTCTGAGACGACGCAAAACTTCATTGTAGAAATTTCCGTTCACTGTCTGGCCGGGAGGGACAAATTCCTGGTGAACAATGCCTCGAGAATCAAAGAAAACAATCAAAATTGTTTTCACATTGGACCTTGATCTTTTCGATTTCTTTTTGTTCTGGGTCCCCGGCTTTCTTCCACTCCAAGGTTTGAGATTTCAGCTCAACTTCGAATTCGTAGAACCAAGATGACTCGTTTCCAGTAATGACCAGGTTAAGAAAGTCCCCCCTTTCCTCTGCTTCCAAACAGTCCTCACAGCAAGCAACCCACCTTGCTTTCTGTTCTGGAGTCAAGAGCTTCGGAACGATTTTCGCGCACACATTTTTCATTTCAAGTTTTTCTGTCAGAATTTCGTGGACGATTGTTTTGGGGATTGACAGTTCCTCAGCTATCATTCTAACTGTCAATCGACGGTCTTTAAGAACACAGCCCCGAATTGTTCAACATTTCCCTCAGAGCTCGATGTGTAGGGGCGTCCTGAGCGTTGGTCATCTTGCACATCTTCTTGGCCTTCCCGTAACCTCTTCACCCACTTGTTGACACTTGGTTCCTTCAGAGAATTGTCTCCGTAAACTCAAAAATCTCACGCCCATTCTTGCCTAGCTTTACAAGAAACTTGATGTTGATGCTCTGTTCCTCGATCAGAGAGAGCTCCATGCCGGCGGCAGGTAAAAGAAGGGTTACTTTCAACAAGCACGCGTAAATCCTACTTACTCGCAGAGCGCTACGGCTTGAACTGAGCATAGACGGGATGGCATAGAGAGAGGGAACCACCGGACCATCCGTCCACAACGCCTTGACACGACCTTCCGAGTTTTTTATACGTATTTTCCGAACAAACCTCGTATATTCTTTGTAACCTATTAGTGATATATTCTTCCTTAACTTCCATATCTACTTAAATTGCAACTTTGACTTGGTAATGTTATATTAATTTTTCTATTTCTCGGAAATAGAAACTTTACCTCGAATTCGATTTATTCAAACATCACATTAGTTATATTATTTTTAGGTGCTAATATTTTTATAATACTTTTGTACTTAACTCGAGCTGTCACCCAATCTTTTATTTTTTTATTGTACAGGATGTATGCAATAAGTGTTGCGGCCTTTATACTTCATGTTGATGTCTAATATATGTATAAGGTACAGTCCTGTTTAATTCCATTTATATTTTTATGTATTTGATTGAAATACATATTTCTTGAATGTTATGTAGTTTTACAGCCTTTGTAGAAATCCCTATCAAAAGAAAACGATGCAAAAATGTCAGAAGATACTACTAAAAAATTGTTAAAGTCAGATTATTCATAATCACCCAAATAAAGGGTCCGAAGCGAGATGTCGCGAAGACTGAAAACGATCACACTGTAACACGAAAAATAGTCGATCGTCGAAAACCAGCTTTTTATTACCGAGTATTTTTCAGATCCTTTAAGTCCATAGTATGGTTTTCAATGTTAATATTGGATGTTCTTCCTTCTCCTGCAGAAGCTTCTGCGTAACGACGACCGCAATTGGGGACCCTCAGCTATAGGACACAAAACGGAGTTCCCGGTGGTTAAAATTTGGACTTTTCTTGCAGATTTAATCGATTTTCGGATTCTGGTTACGAGACCGTAATGGACTTGGGTTTTTCGATGAGAGTCAGCTAATCTCTCTTCTTATCATGCTCCAACAAATTTAGAAACTGTCTGGCAGCGCGGAATAATTTTGAAATTGAAAAGGGAAACGAAGTTGCATGAATAATCACATTTTTCCGTCATAAAAGAACAAAGAAGCTGATTATTAGTTCTTGGTTACTCTTTTAGCAAATCTAATCTACAGTACCGGACAAAAGTTTGGAAATATTGTTATTAATTTTTCAAAAGTGTTCTTCAAAACTATTCTTTATTATTAAGGACTATTTTTTTTCTCATATAGTTTGCTTACAGTCTTGAGGATACAAATGACAATCTGTGTTTGCTGTGGTACTACAGACTAGCATTAAAGTACCTTCATATTATTTTATGACCGAAAATGAGACGACAAAAGTATTGAAAAATATCCTTTATTACAAAATTAAATACACTAACTCTACAAAAAGATTTAAAAAATACTGTTTAGCTAATATTTGGCAGTATAGCCTTCAACATTCAACAATGCCTGACATCTGCTTCTCATAGAAGACACCAATTTTTTACAGACGTCTGTTGGGATATTTTGTAAAATATATTTTACATAATCAAATAAATCGTTAGTAATTTGAAAAGTTTTTCTTGTCGGTTGTCTTTTAACATGCTCCCAGAAATAGAGTCCGGGGATTGCGAAGGCCATGTAAGAACATTAACATTTTTTAATCTTAACCAGTCCTTTACGAATTTTGAGGTATGCTTGGGGTCATAATCTTGGTGGAATACCCATCGTAAATGCATTTCTTCTTCAGCAAAAGGAAGCACTAACTCTTTGTAAAGTTTTTGATCCATTTTCCCAACAATTTTAACTATTGGACACGTTCCAGAACTAGAAAAACAGCCCCCACCATGATTGCCTCCATCGTGCTTAACTGTTGGCAACATTTTGTCGAATCTTTATCGTATTCGACGTCTCACATATGCGGTACTGTCAGAAGTTAAATTTGTTTTCGTTCCATAAAACTGTATTCCATTGTTGTTCTTTCCAAGTTAGATCAGTTTTACCAAATTCAAGCCGAGCAATACGTTTTTGAACTGGACTCCTACCGAAAAGCTGAAAATCCACCAAGCGTCTCTGCACTGTACTGACAGAAAGATTCTCGGCACCCTTTTCGGTCTTCCGAACCTGGGTCGCGTTGTTGTTGATCCGTATTCTGGATATTTACTAATAATTGTTCGAAATCGTCCCTTTGCTCATTTTTTATCTTTGAGAAATGTCAACATTTCTGACGCCACTTCTAAATAATTCAATTACTTTGTCTCTTAAATCTTTTAAAACTTCCTTTACTTTTGCCATTCTCACTGATGTTAATATTTACACGCAATGTCAGAGTATCACAGAACGAATACATACTTTTTCCGTTGGTATTTAAAAAACGCGTGTTTTTATTTTCAGAGAATTTGAATATTGATAAGATAAGCCGGAGTCAAAGGTACACTTCTGTTCCTTGACAATATTAATTTAGATATATGAAATAGTCCATAATAATGGTTGTGGTGGACAAAACAAAGGAGCCATTGGCAAAAAATTCAATAGGAAATTTTGTTTTTGTTGTTTAAGATTTATTTAGCATGCAATTAAATTCTTTCAAAAGAAGACAACAATTACATGACAAAATATTTAGAAAAACAACTTGCAACTCTAAGAATTTTCACTGTCCATGGAATGCTCATTTCCTTTTTTTTAACAACTTTAAATTACAAGTAGTCTTTAGATCATTATTTAGTTAATTACATTCAAGTAATCCCTTCTGAAATATTGATTTGCTGGTTATATTACTATTGAAATTTTGAAAACGAAAATGTGTATTCCATCTGGTGGAACATTTATTGGCCTCATATAGGTGTACAACTCAGTTCTTAATTTTCGAAACAGGAGTTATGATAGATTACCTCGATTTTCTTATAAATTCGCCATATTTTAAACAGGATTAATATTCTTGATTCAAAAATATAAACACATTCATTAAGCACCGCAAAAGCTCACTCTTATTTTGATTTGATTTCAATTCAATTTTGATATAATTTTTTAGAGATGATTAATCTTTATTGTTCTAGACTTACTGAATGATGTATTATAATCTGATCTAATAGGAAACTGGTTGGGAAGCCCGTCATTAATTGATCTTACAATGCCCTTGATTATATCTATGATATAGGTATTCATTCGATTTTTTTCATTTGTCAATACTCCATGTTGAACTTCACATTAGATAATGCACAGTTTTCCACATCTGTTTACTATTATTTTTACTGTCATCAAATTAGTATTCTAATATTGTTTGCCAACGGAGGCGACGTTTTTGCCCTGTGCGTAACTAAATGACTTGCACCAAGCACTAAACCATTAGGGAACTTATCAAGCAATAAACTGCAGGTATAACTGCATTTCCTACTCGGACTAAATGTATATCAAAATTACTGAAATTTCGCGGTTAGCAGACAACCGAAAAATAAATAACATTATTTCTTGTCTCCGAAGATTCAAGCAGCGCTATCAAATCCACGACATTTTGTTGATGATTACTCATTTTTAAAAACAAATCTTATTAGCCTGTAATAATGACATATACAGGGACGATACTGGTGGCGCAACCGAATCTTCAGCGCATCTGCTACTCCCTCCAGTACGCATGAAGTGGGTAACAGGGGACCGCTTCATTCTCATCCTGGAGATACTGGCTTCGTTCCAACAAAGCCGTGTACCGTACAGTGAATCATAATGAGCGTGCGCAGTACGTTTTTAGTGTCACTTAAAACGTACTGCGCACGCTCATTATGATTTACTGTACGGTACATGGGTTTGTTGGAACGAAGCCACTCTTAATAAATTTGGCACGAGCTGTCGGTCTTTTCCATTGATTATATTTCCGGGCATTGTAGAATTTTGTATTGAAGATTGATAACAGGACAATTTGAATTGCACGCCAATATCAAGTAAGTTGTCACTCTGACAAATATGATTGAAGGACATGCATACGTAACGACAAGGTTCCATATCATATACAGCGTGTTCAACCTCTCCTGCCCCGGGATTATGAGCCCCGAGTTGCTTTTTGTCGCACAATGTTAGAAAGACACAGGAAAGATCCACAGTTCTTTGAAAAAATTTTATGGTCGGATGAGACCACATTTTAGAAAGATGAACCTGCATAACTTACACGAGTGGCACGTAGCAAACCCACATTTGATGAGAAGATAAATCTCAATATCGCTTCAAGATAAACCATTGGACAGGAATTTTAAATGGTAAAATAATCGGTCCGTTTGAGTTCCCAGAGACTTTGACTGCTGAAGTTTATTTGGATTTTTTGAAAAATCATGTACAAAATTTATTGGTGGACGTGCCACTGAGTATTTACAGGGACCTGTGGTTTCAGCATGATGGCTGCCCAGCGCACTATGCACTCTCAGTGAGAGACTATCTCGATCAAAACTTTCCAGGCAGATGGATAGGGCGGTCTGGTACAATACCGTGGCCAGCCTAGTCACCAGATTTGAATCCGTTAGATTTTTTTTACTGGGGAACTGTAAAAGAAAAAGTGTATTTCAAGCCGATTCAAAATGTAGCTGAGCTACGGCAAAGACTATTGGAAGTAGCTGAGTTTGTTATTAACCGTGGATTCGCTCGTTTAATAACCCGATCTTTTTTAAGAAGATGTCGAGCGTGTATTGCGGCTGAAGGAAAACAGTTTGAGCATTTGCTGTAAAGGTAAATCATCATCAGCAGCATTTTGACGCCCACTGTTGTGCAAACAGTTATCCTTAAGGGTCCTTATGCGTTTTCATAATCGCTGTTTAATTAGGAAATTTTGAAAAATTTTCATCAGTTTTTCTTCAAATGAAAATTGTGCATAGGTTAACGAGTAATCTTCTAAGTGTTATACCATTTTGGAATCGTTATTAAATGCGCCAACTTTTAAGGTTACTTGCCAAACACTCGTAGTACATTTTTTCCAGTACAGCCAGTTAAAGCTGAGCAAAGTTTTACTTTGGAATACTTGGTTGGGAAATAAGTGGCAATTTTTCCTGAACGAGAAAAGTTGGCAGTAAGGTTGAGCCACCAGTTTGAAGATGCATTATTCATCATTACATTGTAAAAATAAAATCCAAAAAGAGTTAATATTTGTAGTAACAGGAGTTGACAGACTGCCGTAGGGTGTGAAATTTCTATATCTTTTGAAAGAATTATAATTTTCAAAACACAAACATAAAATTTTTTTAAATATTTTTCTGATAGCTGTTATGACTTTGCCTATCACCCGGTTTTGGCTTGACGTCGACTTCTGGGACATCCTGTATAAAGGCATACTGGTAGTCTTACTTTGACCCGCTAAAAAACCGTTCTACAACTATACTGAAATATGTAATATTACGTCCTCTTATAATACGCTAAAATTAAAAATAACAAAGTATTATTTTTCTTAATAATTGAAAACCCTGCAATATAAAATTCCAGAAATTCAGACATATTTATGTTGCTATAAACTCTTCTATAATAGGTAAAATTATCTGAGAACTATTTCCTGGATTCTTAGCAC